GTATCAATTAAATGAAAGAATCACAATTCGGGATAGTCTTCCTTGCAGTCTCTCCCTCCATCCAAAACACAAAGTCAAGACCATATACGGGCACAGAAATCTGACTTTTTATTAGAAGTTGAGTGGGATTACGAAGAAACAAGTGGGAATAGAGGCAAGGGAGGAAAAAAGAAAGAAAACGCCTTGCAGGAACAGCTCTCTCACCCTTATTTGCTTTTCATGGACTGTAATAGAACAAGATGTGAAGAAACATCTGTTGCCTTTTTAAAAATAGTACTTTGATATTTTAAAAGAATAGTGACAGAATTAGAAGAATTCTTATTTTCTTGGTTAGGGACAGCAAATACCTATGGAATGAAATGGCAAATTAGTCTAGCACACCTCAGTAGGTTTTGGGATTGAGGATTGATCTGTCACACATGGCTAAGGGAAGATGCTTGGGGCAATGATTAGAGCCTGGGCTCTGTAGTTAGGTTTCCTGAGTTTAAACCTTGACTTTATCACTTATTTGCAGAATGATATAGGGGAAGCAATGAATCTTGTAAGTTTCAGTTGGCATAATACTATTACCAACCTCATCATGGTTTGGAAATTAAACGAGAGAAATAAAATTTAGGGAGTTGGTCCAGACACTGGCATATAATCTCATTTGCTAAATGTATGTTCTTGTTTTTAAAATTACCTAAAAAAACCAAAAACAAACAAACAAAAAAACAATAAAATTAGCTAAAAAAAGAGTTTCTCTTAGACCAGATAAGGAGCTCAATGAAATCTCCAATGTGAATAGAAAAGTCTTTAAACAACAAAAGGTTAACTAGTCTTTGAGGAAGAAAGAGGTATCTGTATAAAGTGGGCTGGCCTTCGGAAGGCATGAGGTGTGGCTGCCTTTCCAGGCCATTTTAAAGCTAGTGAGAACTCAAACAAAGCTTCTTAGAGCATTAATTAGAGTAGTTGAACCACTCCTGAAAGTCTAACTGTGGTTAGAGGTGGGTAATAAAAGTGCTTCTGAGAAGTACTACTGTGTAAGAGAAATTCCTGCCCTGAGGGTGAATCCAAGCCAGGAAAACAGCCCCAAGGCCAAGGGCACTGGAAAGAGATAAACACTGAGTGAAAACATGCTCTAGGCCAAATTCAAAGTGAGTCTAGGTTCTCAGGGACCAAAAATGGCAGGATGGTAAGAGTGAGGCACTCATCAGCCATCATCATGAGAACCACATGGTGCCAGGTTTGGAGGACAGACTTCCAGCAGAAAATGATATATAGAAATAGTTTCATTTTGAATGCTGGATAGTAACCAAAACAAAAAAGACCTCAGAGACTCAGTGGTTGGTTTTAGAGAGAGATGATACTGGATTTAAGTCCTAATATCTCTATTACAGGCACTAGTTTCCACTGTAAGCTTCAGTTCCCTCACTTATGAGGGTAATAATAATTTTTCTTTATGAATATTTGAATGTTAACCCACACAATTCAAAGAACTAAGGCAATGCCAGGCACATAGTAAGTCCTCAGTTAGCATTGGTGATTCTTACTAGAATTTCACTTACACATGTTCATTTACATAACTTTTTAAAAAACACCACAATAGTATAAATCATAAAATAGAATTATATCATGCTAAACTGGTGTTCCTAAACCTTGTATAAAATTTTTCTCTTGCTCTCTCAAATATCTTTTCCTTAGAAAGTTAATTTTTAATATAAATATGCTAAGTGGAATCTAGGTCTTGGGGACATTTGGGGCTAGTACAAAACTCTTTTTAAATAAAAAATTCTTACTGTGCTGATAATTGTCTAAATCACAAAGGGAGAGGTGTCTAGGAAAAATGGTAAAATTTTTCTTTTGGCACTTCAACTTTTTTAAAAGTCACATTTTTGGGTCGGGGATTTAGCTCAGTGGTTCCGCTTCCTGCCTCGCAAGCACAAGGACCCAAGTTCGATCCCCAGTACCAAAAAAGAATAAAAAAATAAAAAATAAAAAGTCACATTTTGTATTGATGATTTTATATTGGGCTTGTCTCTGTGTAATATTGTTTAAGTTTAGTCATCTGGATCCCTCCCCTCCTCCCTGTAACCTTGTCACAAATTCAAGATCTGCCTCAGCAGGTGGCTTGGATGAAACCACTGGATTTATATTTCAGAGCTATCTCACTTTCAACCAATCTATTAGGTTTATTCACAGGATTCCTGCATCAGGCTGGGAGAGCAAGTGGGTTCTGAAGAAGAGAGAGGCTCTCATATTTTTGCAGCAGATTTAGACACCGTCTATCTGAAAATGGAGTCTGTGGTAAAACTCTCCAAATTACTTGTATTCTTCTCTTCAGAGTCACTCAATTTTCCCAAGACTCACTCTTTGGGAACCATTTAATAATATTATAGATAACTTATCCTATTTTACTTCTACTAATTCTATTACTCTAAATCAAATCCACAAAACTATTCTTGACATATCATTCTACCCTCTCTCCATCCATAGCACAGAATAGAATTAACTAACTTTATGAATAAATATTGCTCATTTCTGAAACCTGACAGGCTTACAGGAAACTATCAATTGACCAAGGGGAAACGAGGGATTTCTCTCAAGCTTCTACAGAGATCATGACTGATCTGCTCCTTATTGACCCAACATTTTACTGTTTCATCTCTGTCCTTCAATATTTATACTTCTACCTGGCGGTATGATGGAAAAGATGAAAAATGAAATTTCATTATATAATTATCAATGACATGATCAAATTTTGTATGATGGAAGTCTCAAAATCATTGTATCCATTAAGCCTTAGATAGTCTTTGGGTTTCATTAATCCAGTGGTTATCAACCTTTGGCAAATACCAGAAACCCCTGGATGGCTAGTAAAACAAAAATAGTAAGTTATTCATTCACCGAGCTTTGAATTGGGCCTGGAAGAATTCATCTTAATAATTCCCAGGTGATGGTGATGCCACTGGTTTAAGGATGGTACACTGAGAACCACTGCACTAATTCAATCCTTGGCTTCTCTCTTGTTAACGTAAATAATCTAGAATTTGCTTTAAAATTAGCTTTAGAAACTTTGGCTGTATTATCTAAACATTATGGGTTAAGCAATTATATTGGTATATATGCACTTTATACAGTGTAATAGAGAGGTAAAATGAAAAGTGTAAAGTGAGTTACACTATTTGGTTGAGCTAATCCCCAAAATATGCAATTATATGTTCACTTAATCCTGACTCTAATCCACAAGTGTCTCTACTTCTCCATATTTTTGTAGGATCAATGTAATACTTACCTTTAATTTTTTTGAAGAGTAAAGTTTTCAGTTTTTGGTATTACAATGGATTCATACAAAAACCATTATCCATTGTTTTTCTAATGATCAGACTCATTTGATTATCATAATTTTTAATTCAGTGCAACTTTAAAAAACTTTAGTGTAGAACAAAGAGCAGCCAAAATAATGGCATCAGAGAGGTGTTAGATTCAATTTCTGATACCACAAGTCACTGGACAGAGCACATTTTGGTCACAAGAAATAATACAAAACTTAAGTGAATAGCAGTTACATCAGAAAAGGGAGCCATAGGACTTAGTGTGTCTCAGTTTAAATACTTTGGCAACCACCAAGCCCTTAGAAGGTTCTGTGCTTCATTTCAATCCCTTAATGCAGCTACAACCCATGACTTGGAGGTTATACAACAATTTCAATGTCTGGGAGTGGGATATGTGGGAGCGTCCTTGGTTCTTTCATTTAATTTAATGGAAATGTTTCATCATTTGATACTATAAGAAGTTTGATGAATGACCAAATTATGTTGAAACCTCCCTGAGGGTGAAGTAAGATTTGGAGTTTAGTAGTTCCTTCTTTTCTTTCAATGGTGCACCTGTAGATTACTGGCTGAAATGAAATATGAAAAATGTAGTTTGGGGCTTTTCCAGCATCTGTGGTTCGGGCTGTGACACAAGAAGGTTAAAAAAGATATGGAATGGCCTAGAAAATATTATGTACCACACTCTCTAACTCCAAGCAGAAAACAATTAACTTTAAAAAAATCCTAATCTGGCAATGGGCCTCTAAAACTATTCAAAAGGTATAACCAGTGAGAGAATTTTTAAGATCAACTACATCCAGTAGGATGGCAGTATGGGCCAGTAGTGAAATGATTAAGGATTCACCATTCATGCTGTAAACTTGAAAAAGTTATGGGACCACCTCTCTCATTGTAAAATGGCAATGATATTTCCTACTTCAGAGTTGTGTCAGTTAATGAGGAAATACTTGAAGAAATCTTAGAACAGTTTTTTGTACATAGGAAGTACTAAATATTTCATTATCGCATAATCCCAGGGGTCTTACTGAATGCTGTTTAACTCACAAGATCCACACACAATTATTGATATTTTAATTGGAGATATATTCTTGTTCTTGGAATAAATTAATACTCCATGCTCAATAGGTAAAATTCAGAACATGATGGGTTGTTCCTATTCTTAGCTTTTTAATTCATACCAATCTTGATTTCAGGTGTAGAAATAGCCTATAGGTAGAAAGATATTTTGATAGTTCAGGCCATGGAATGGAAATGTAACTCCTTATTATTTTTATTCTTCAGTGTCTGCCAAATGCTTTTCCAATATTTGAGTTATTGTCATTATTACTAATTAGCCTAACGTAATATCCTAATATCCTAATATATATCCTAATATGTTTCCCTTTATTGAAATCTTTGCTACTTTGAAATTCTTACATGCTACAAAGAGTTCTTTGTCTTTAGAGGTATTAGGGATTTTAGAAAGCTGTATATCATAGGACAATCTTTTTATTTATTTACTTTGAAATCAAGAGTAGGAGAAGACAGATGGCTGTTTTGTAGTCTGTTCACTTATCTTGTGATAATTTTCTTATGTGCAGCAATAAGCAACAAGCAAAATATTGTTTTAACTGTAAAACTGCACCACTGTCTTTTGCATTTGGAGCTTTGGTTAACCCAGGTTTATCTATTCTTCTCCTCCTCTAGCTGGACAGTGCTACATCGCTTATCCAGGCAGCTAAAAACCTGATGAATGCTGTTGTACTTACGGTGAAAGCATCCTATGTGGCCTCAACCAAATACCAGAAGGTCTATGGGACAGCAGCTGTCAACTCCCCAGTTGTGTCTTGGAAGATGAAGGCTCCAGAGAAGAAGCCCCTTGTGAAGAGAGAAAAGCCTGAAGAATTCCAGACACGAGTTAGACGAGGTTCTCAAAAGAAACACATTTCGCCTGTGCAGGCCTTAAGTGAATTCAAAGCAATGGATTCCTTCTAAGACGATAGGCTGTAACAAGAGAGCTTTTCTTTGTTTTCTTTCTTTTCCTTTCTTTACATTTTACTTCCATTTTTGTATGCATACCTGCCGACTTGTATGCCTCTGGCATGGGGACATTAAAGGAGCTGTGTCTGTTTGCACACAGGATGAGGTGTGGTCAGTCCTACTGATCCATCTGCAGCCTGAAGAGGGGACAGAGGATTTCTGTCCAGAGGTGCCACAGACCTGTCCTCTGCAACATTCTTTTAAAGTTGGGCAAAGAGTTCGCATTGCAATGTTTACGGGAGTGGGAGGGATGGGGAAATAAAGTTAACTCTACAAAAGCAAACTCTAATGCATGCAAGAATCATTAGGTTGGCAGGTATATTTATAAGTGGAAAACCTGGAAGTGTTATGGTAGAACATAAAACTTGTATTGCTTCTGTTTCAGTGCAAAAATGTACTAGCCAATACGCTTACGTGTGTGGCCCACAAATTGAACAATTTAACTTTGAGGTCATATCCATGATATTATGTGAATTTTTAACTGAGGAGAAACTAGCTAGTCCAGCCTAAAATGCTTCTAATTTTCATTCTGTTCTTTCTCTTCTGATAGTGCCATTACTAGTGCTCATATTATCATTTTTCCCCTTTACTGAAAATGATCAACATTTATTTGAGATGATTCAAATCCTTCTGGGGGCACTGGAAGCACAATAAGGCAATCAACTTTTCTTTCTTCCTTCCTTTCTTTCTTTCTTTCTTTCTTTCTTTCTTTCTTTCTTTCTTTCTTTCTCTTCTTTTCTTTTCCATTTGAATTATGATTTTGCTAGAAATAGAAGGCCCAGTGGTGGAATGTTAGAGGAATGGAAATTGACAATGTGTGAAGGTTTAGAGGAAAATACATAGGTGTAGCTTGGAGTGCTGGTATCTAATATACCATTGTATTCACTAACTTAAAATAAACACATTTAATCTTGATATCTGAAGAATGTTTCTTTTATTTAATGCATATTTAACGAAACATTAGCACATCTTCTTAAAAATTAAAATGCCTTTTACAAATTAGAGGTAAAATAGATGGTATAAAATAAGTCTCTCAGTCATTTTTAGATCCCAGATATTTCTTTTATTCTATGGTTTGTTTTCCTATTTGTCTTCATTGACTTTCAAAGTAAATTTAAAACAAGAAATTCTTGCATTGTACTTTTCTGGGCCACGCTGGCTTGGCCCTGGGATAAACTTAATGTGTTCTCATAGAGAAGGATATTCCAAAGGTTTTCTTACAGAGAAGTACATTCATTTAAAAAATTTTTAATCTAAATTGGAAAATCAAGTCTCTTTCCCATTGCTAAAGAGGAAGTGAATGTGGATTTTCAGCTATGGACTGAAGAGTGGAAAAAAAGCACTCATGTTTCCACCTCAGTGAAACCCAAATTCCTCCCATTAGAATAGTTTCTATGAGTTATCACATTATTACATATCTCTAGAAGATGTCTGGTAAAGTATGCATGTATTTCTTAACAATATAACAATGTATTTGGAATCATGAGCAAGCAAGCTTATATTACCCCACATGTAAGGTCCCAAGGGAAAGGGATGGGGAGTTGTGGAAGGACAAAAACTGAGTTCAAAATCTTATTTGGAAATGGTTCTGCTCATACTACTGCTTACCACAAGTGATATCATCACAAAGACCAAGAATGTGCTAAGAGAGGAACCACCTGATCTTAAACACTAGTAATTAAGACACAGACAACTATTCTACTCCCTTAATATGCATAAGCATTCAGATAGTCACATTCTTCCCAAATATTTAAGGATGTCTTCCTTAAGCCAGGTCCTATGATTAACACACTAATCTGTATATGTGTGGGGACGGTCCCCTTTGGTACATGAGTAAGACATAATATCAACCAGATTGCCATTTTTGCCACTGACCAGAACAACGAAAGTCATGTTCTCAGTTCTGAGAAATCTGAATTTCTTGGAAACAGCAGTAAAAGTATTCTATTGAGAAGCTTTTCCCTAAAATAGCCTCTCAGTCTATACTCCTCCTCCTTGACAGATTCTTTAGAAACTACAGAAATCTGTTCACTTCTTTCTCTATAAGATCCAAAGAAGTAGAGAGAGGAAGGGGTTAAAAGCAGGAAAAAGTCATATGAACTTGGTTATTATGAGTGTGTGCAAAGAGTCAACATAATGTTATTCATAACTCCCCCAAATGAAATATAATTAGCACAATTAACTCTGGGTTCATACATGAGTCTATCATTTAATGGGTCAAAGAAGTAAATATTCCTTAAACTAGTCAAGAAACTTTTAAAACTCAAAAAACTTGCTGGCAAATCCTAAAAAAAAAATCTATCAAAAGAACATGTAGAGAATGTGCTTGACTTTGACCTATAAATGCTTTAATACACACTTATGAACAATGCTTGCGTGTGTATTTTCAATTGGTTGTAGGCTGATATTTTTAGTCTTTGAATCCAGTTCTTTTTTTTTCTTTTAATTCCTTTATTGGTATCTCTTAGGTATGCAATACATTTACATTTATCATTGGGTGCTTGTACCTGTACATGATGTATCTTAGTTCTTATGTTTCTCCCATTACCTGTTCACCCTTCCCCCCATTCACCCTTCCCTATTTACATAGACATCATTTCCATTTTTTTTCTTTTCTCATAATTTTTCTTTTCCTTTCGTCCCTTTCCCCTTCCCCTCCCACCACCTCTACACCTTTGGACCTTTTCCTATTTCAAATTATCAATTATTCATTTTAATCCTTATTTACACTTTCAGTTTCTCACACTAGAGAAACTATTCGGTATTTACACGTGTGTCCTTTTTATTTCACTTAAGAGTATGGCCTCGATATCCATCCATTTAGCTATAAATGTCTATATTTTCTCATTCTTCATGGCTGAATAGTACTCCATTTTATAAAAAAACCCCACATCTTCTTTATCCAGTTTCCAGTTGATGGGCACTTGGGCTGTTTCCAAGTTTTAGGCATTACAAACTGTGCCGCTATAAACATGGGTGCACATATATCACTGTGGTATGATTCTTTTACTTCTTTTGGGAAGATACCCAGTAGGGAATAGCTGGGTCAAATGGGACCTCTACTCCTAGTTCTTTGAGATATCTCCATACTTATTTCCACAGTGGCTGCACAAGTCTGCACTCCCACCCACAATGGAGAAGGGTGCCTTTCTCTCCACACCCCCTCCAGCATTTGTTATTGGTTGAACCCAGTTCTTATTGAGCAGACATCATCCTCATCTTTGTACCATTGTTCTCAAAACAGAACAGTGGCTATGCACAAAGATGATGGAGACATGAGCACTATAGCAACAAAAGAGTATGTGTTTGAGAAACACAGTCTAGTTGGGAAGATATTATATAGAGAAAAGTACACATGCCAGAAATTAGACTTAAAGTGCCAATGAATAAGGCAGAAAAATAACTACTGCATCAAACTAAAAGAAACCAATAAAGGCTTCAGTATTTTGAGAAAGATTAATGAAAAGCAGTAGTATTTGAAAATGACTAAATAATGCATATATTCTTAATAAAATGTATAAATAAATGACATAGTAAAAGGAATGATAGGTAAAAATTCAATTTAAAAAACCAGCATAATATAAGGTCTGAAAAACCAGGGCAGTCACAGAAAACAAAGGATTTATGAAAGGAACTAGTGGAAAATAAATGTGGGGACATGGATGAGCTAAACTATGGAGGTTTTGAAGGAGTATGACCATTATTTAATAGATTGCTTGAAACTTTCAAGCTAGAATTTGACAGAAAGAAGTTCCTACATAAGATGGAACTGATAATATGTGGATAGGTGAGAACTGAAAGAGACTAATGTTAGTAGAAGGCATATTTCTGATAGAAAGGTAAAAGGGGCTTACAAGGATTTCTTCAATAACTGGATATGGAGCAAGAGAATGATTGAAGTATATAGTTTCTTCAGGGACACTAAAGAGTCAGAAAACTGAATAGTATCTGAAAAGCTATATACTAAGACAGAAAAATAGTGTTGTAGGAAACAGAATATCTTTTTTTAGTAGACTATATTCTTTATTGGGACTAAAATACATTTTTTATTAATTTTATTGGTACATTTTAGGTATACAATATAATGACATTCATCATTGGAGACACAGAATATCTTATCCCAAGCAAATGGATTATTTCCTAAAGAAGCAGTATTTTGGGATGTAGGAGGATAGATATTTTTTATTGGAGGAGGATAAATAAATCTGAATTTCCTTTACTCTACTCTTCAGACGAAATATATTTTTTTCTAAACATCTGGAATTTCCATTGAATCATAGATTATCTAAAGAAGACCTGTGGTTTTCTCCACTACTGTTGAAGAGTATGAAGTCAACTATTTAGAAGGCAACTCTAAAACTCTAATACCTGGTCCTGATTTCACCCATGGGGAAATAAGTTATATAAGCATCATCATGATGGTCACTGATTTTTGAGCATCTGTATATGTAGGGCACCTTGTAGACCCTTGAGCTATAAAGATCTATAAAATAATGTGTACATCAGAATTCAAAAGCAAAATAATTATTTAAAATATTGTGATTTGATTTAATAAATGATAATCTCCACATTTTCTAGTAATATATTATAAATTTATTCCATTTCTATTCCCATGTGATCATATACTAACCCAATCAAAGAGGTCAGTGCTTTCTCCTCACTTGAATATTGTGGCACATTAAAGAAGGAGAGAAGAGGGTGTGAATTAACTACAGAAATTACTAAGAAGTCCTAGAGCACTGACATTAGAAAGATAGTAGACCAGGACATTCCAGGTCCTGTCTTCCTATAAATGCAACAAAATAAGAATATTTTGACCACATTACCTTTATAGGAACTTTAGAAACAGTTAAGGGTTTATAGCAACCAAGAAAAAATAATTCAATATAGTAGAAAATTTTGGAGTGTTTTTACTTGACTGTATTCTACCTCTTTTCTAGCACAGAATAGTCAGAAAAGATTCCACTTAATTCTTGGTTCATCAATTACAAGAGAAGGGAAAGAATGGGGTGCATTTTCATTGTTCTGCCCTGTCTAGTAGCTGCCAGTGGGAACAGTTTCTGTCTCATCTAATTTGGAGAGCTGATGAGAATGGTGCAATATATTAGTTACTTTGTTCTTTGCTGAGACACAATTCATGACACATGAAACTTAAAGAAAAAGTGGTTTATTTTTGTTCAAATTTCAGTCCATAGTGTGCTTGTTCCAAGGCAGGAAGGTATGGTGGAAGGGTCTGTTGAAAGAAAGCTGCTCACATCACAGTGGCCAGGAAGTAGAAAGAAAAGAGAGGAATGGGGGAGGAAGATACACCCTTCCAGGAGGTCATTCCTCCTGTGACCTGTGTCCCTTGACCAGGCGCTATATCCTAACAGCAAGTCAGCTATAATGCCTCCATTGTACAATCCTTTTGCAAAAGCCCTACATATGAGTGTACATGACCCTTGGAGGACATCTAGGTATAATCAGTAACATAGTTTGAATATTAGGTGGGAGCCACTGAAACCAGTTCCCAGCACCACAGCATGTACAAGCTATAGGAACCTCCAGACCTAGGGGTTCCTAGAAGAGGCAAGATATTATGGACAGGGGATTATAATGTCTAAATTTCTGAGAAGTAGGGGCAATACCCATAGAGAATACAGAAGCATTAAAAGCAGTTTTATATAAAAGGGATTTAGAGGAAATAGAACACAGAGGCCTGGGAAAACACATGCTTAGAAATGTTCTTCAAAAACCGTAAGCCTTCACACCAGACTCATTAGTGAGTTTTCCTTTGCATAATGTGATCTGTGGCACCAGCCAAAGTGGGTCTGTTTTCAAATACCAAGTATGTTTAATGTATGAGAGACTTATTCTAGACCTATAGAAAAAAGGCACTATATAATAATAAAAGAATCAGAGGCCATACTCTTAGG